CCCTATTTAATTAAATTTTTATTTCAAAAAAACCTTAATTTTTTATTCTATCTTTAAAAAGTGAGCATCAGTTCTTATGGTGAATTTTGTTTATAAGAGTAAGATTAATTATTTATAGTATTTCCTCTTATAAAGATTAATTATTTATAGTATTTTCTTACTTGTCTTCTATAATGGATTATCCACAGGGCGCCAAATTTTGTTTATAATTTTTAATTGATTATTTTTTAGAAAATTGGTGAAAGGTCCATCCTAATGAGTATATCAGGTATGAGATCCAAGGAAAAATCTTATTTGGTGATAAGAACACGACGGAAAAGTTGTCAGAAAAATTCACTAGCCCCAGAAAATTTTGTTAGTCAAAAAAGTTGCCAACGGCAGCAGGTGGTGGTGGTGAAACAAAGAAATGTGCGATATTCAATAGATAGGGTGTTGAAGGAGTGACATATGTCACATGAATTTCAACGGATAAAGCACTAGGCTTGGTGAATTTCAACAGATAGGAAATTAGACTTGGTGAATTTTCAACATATAGACAAATTGGATGATTTCAAGAGATAGGTTGATTTGATTTTAACAAATAGCGTTCCTTTGGACAAATTATATCTTTTGGGTCCAAAGAGATTAGAGTTTGGGCATAAAGGCCCAAAAGATTAAAAAATGAACCTATGGCTTAAGTACCTATTATTTTTAAGTTTTTTGCTATAGGACTTTGGTTCATTATTTCATCGGGCAAAATATGATCAAGCATATTATTAATTCCATCAATGAATGGTTTTTCCAATCCACAATTAGATCAGAAATAATTTTTAATGTAAATGACCACTCAATTGTATCTTTTTCTTTAGTGACTTGGTTCACATGATCTTGATAATTCTTCGATATATGATCTCTCATCGGTCTTTCACCATGAAAACTCAGGAGGCTAGAATTATCATCTATTACCTCCTTATTTGCACGCATTTTTGTCGAATTCCTGTCGGTAGGTGGATCAATCAAGCAATGACATGTGGCAAAGTTAAAGTAAGAGTCATTCGTCAGTCAAATGGGCAAGTGGCATTATGAGGGTTAATCATGTACATTTGATAGACCAGATGGTAGGGTAGTTATAAGGCTAAGTCATGGACTTAGTTGGTGGATTGTAGAAAGGGTCATGTGTATCTGTTGATAAGAAGCCCAAAATGTTGAGGGACACGTGGCAACATGGAGGAAATGTGTTTGACAGGAGATGTTGAAGACCTAGTTGGGTTTGAAGGCTTAGAAGAGAAGGAGCAGTTGTAGCAGTTAGGCAGTGATATATAGTTGTAGGATTCGGGGAATTATGCAATCACGAGCCAAAGAAAGATAAGAAGACATAAAAGTAAAAAATTTCCAGAGAGAAGGGGATCATGAAACTCAACAACACTTAGCTTTTTATCTTAGGAGTAGTTACTTTTGCAATTCGTAGTTTGTAACTTGGTGAATTTCAGTAGTTTCATTATGAAATGACTTTTTATTTACTTTGTAATTATTAGTTGTTTCAAAGAAGTCCTCATTCTTTGGAGGCATTTGAACCGATTTCACAATTGCTTGGTTGTTTTGGTTTAAATTGTCTTGTTTTAAATTATTGTTTGGTGGTTGTCGATCAAGTTCTAGCATAATGCTAACTAATACTCCTCTACGAAAATCTCCCTGAGCACCATTACTAGTCCTAGGCATGGTGCAAGAACATCACAAGCTTTGATACCAACTGATGCAGTGTGAAACGCAAAATAGTAACAATCTTAAAATCCGTTGATTCAAATAAGAATACTAGAAGTAAGATTCCTCTCTAGACTCATAGATTCACCAAGAATACCGAGAATAAATTCTCAATAATGGTTGATTCTTGAAAGAATATCCAAGGTTAGAATAAAAGAGTATATCAACTCACAATTTCATTAATAATCAAAAGCTATCTTTGCCCTAAGGCTTACATCTTTATTTATAATAAACCTAATTATTATTGAACAAGAAACTAATAAAATAAGAAATAAAATTAAAACTAATAAAATAAGAAAATTGCATCATATCAAATTAGAAAACTAAATAACTAAACAATTCTATAATATTAATTTTTGTGTGATAAATGTGATAAATTAAACACGTTATGATTATCGGATCAACTTAATTTTTTTTTTATGAGTGATATATATGAATGAGGTTATAAAATAAACGATTTGAATTATTGAAACGAGAAAGATGTAAAGGAAGTAGGCATACTCCATGGGTTGCTACTTCTGTTTGGATGCTAGCAACAACAATATCTGCTGTAACATTTGTTGATCCTTCTGAGGCTGCCCCTTAAGTGGTTGTACTTCACAATGGGTAGTTTTGGGAAGACGAATGCATATAAAAATATGCATAGAAACTCAAAGAATGTGAAGATTACTAGAAATACACTGAAAAAAAGACATGTATCTAAAGTTTATACTTCTGAATGTTGGGATCTTCTGTCAATATAAAATAGAAAAATATATTTATTAATGACAATTGGATTTTATCTTAAGAGCCATGCGGAGATGATATATGGTGTGACTATATTAATGGCAATTTGGCAATCTTCTCAATTATATTGTTTTATGTATAAATATGAAGAAATAATAAATCAGTGTTAGTTTTGAAAATTAATTACAGATTCATGATAAATTTTATATACTTTGATGACAAAAGTCATAATTTTTTATTTTTTATTTTTATGAATCTATATTTATTTTAGGATAGTACTACTAATTTGTAAATTCCCTAATAAATATTGATGTATGGGATGAGTGGAGAGTGAGAGAAAGAAAGAGGAGAGCTCTCTACTGAGTGGGTGAGAGAGAGAAAGAGAGAGAGGGATAGAGAGAAAGACAGAGAGTTGGGATCTCACTCTATCACGGGTGATTATTCAGTACTCCCGGAGTATGGACACGTGGTGCTCCATAAGGTTTTGATTGGTGGAGAGACACAAGGGCCCACGATTTATGTTGGAAATGGGGGGACAACATGGGGCTAACTAATTGGTGATTGGTTTGGAGTATGGACATGTGGTGCTCCAGGAGTATTAAATAATTTCCTTATAAAAAAGAAGGATTTGGCTTCTCTCATGTTAGGGATCTAACTTGAAAGAGTATTTGGACTTCGTAGGCCCATTGTAAACTCAATTTCAATTATCCAAATCATTCACTTTTTAGAACTCGTTAAAAAGAATATTCATATAAAATGAAGATGATTGGATTTCAGTAACTATATGTTTGAATTACATTTTCTTTAAAAAATAGACTTTTATTCTTGAAATTATATTAGCCGTCCATTTTTTAAGATAAATCTGATTCAAACATGTGGAGAAGTGGTTTGGAAATACTCTTCTAATCCTGGGGGACGCTCGTGATCCTCTGCTAGTCACCTGAAAATGAATAAACACTCCGGTCGGGGATGCCGGAATCAGCACTCCGACGGGCAAGTCAGTCTCTACATTCAGGATTACTCGTATTCTAAGTATATATATATATATATATATATTCATTTTCTTTTCTTTTGCTTCACTTTCCGTCATTTATTTTATTATTTTTAATCAAACAGAGCATTGTAACAAATTCCACATCTCAAATAGCTCTCACGTTGATTCTTATTTTGATATTTTATTGGAAGTACAAAAATATACATATACATACATGTGTGTATCAACTATGGCGAAGCAAGACAGTTTTGAATGTGGATTATAAATTTTAAATCGCTAATCAAACAAACCCACGGTTTGAAGACAAATCGGTGTGGTCTTTGGGATTAGTCGAGGTGCGCGTAAGCTAGTTCAGATACCCAATTATAAAATAAAATGATATTTATTTATTTCAAATCATACAATCTATCCCCGAGATTAGTCAAGATGTGTATAAATTGATCCGGATACATGATTATAAAAAAAGTGATATTCATTTGTGGTGGGTAAAAATCAAGCCACTTGGTTGTGGCAGCGCTACGACTGTGTTGTCTTGTTTTTGAACCTAAAATCACTTACAAAAAGATGAAGGGTCTGGCTAGGAAGTAGCATGGGTACATTGCGATGCCTAAGTAAATAAAACATCAGACAAAGGTATAGAATATGTGAGTAAAGATTCAGGTGAAAGTGATTGTGTACCTTTATTTATAGTCTACTCCCTTTATTTATAGTCTACTCCTATTAGCCGTCATGGGCTGTTAGCCTTCCTTCCACTCCTTACGTCAACCCCTTTTCTTTAGGAATTTCCACTTAGCATGGATTTCTAGGAGTTACTTGGGCCTAAAGTTTAGGAACATGCATTGACTGAGTCTATCCCTAAGGTGCGCTTTCTGTTCCTCTGATCCTGTCCCTCATGCTAGACCCACCTCATCAAGAACTAAATCTCTAAATTTCCAAATGACAAGTCTTCTGATTGGTCAGGAAAGAACTCTTGGCGCTGTTCAGCTGCAGCTCATTTTGGCCTCCCACATCATTTATTTCAAATCATACAATCTATAAAAATGACTTATTATTTTGAAACCGTACTCATTATTATGAGACCCTTTATTGTACAAAAATTTTATTTATAAAGAAAAATGTTATGAATCCCACGTTAGGTGTCCCCAATTTAGCCCGAATGAGTGTTGTGTGATTACGATTGAATTTGTGTAGTATAGAGTCCATGTGTAGAACAAATATAATTTACAAGATGATAATTTAAAATAATTTTTAATTTTTTTTTTTTTTTTTTTTTTTTTTTTTTTTTTTTTTTTTTTTTTTTTTTTTTTTTTTTTTTTTTTTTAAAATTCGCGTTGTTTTTTATAAGAAAGAGGTCCATGAAGGGTAATGTACTGCAGGTGTAAACTGTAATCTTTTGTAACAGCTTTAGTTAGATTGTAACAACATTAGTTAGATGGTGTGTAGTTAGTTAGAGGTATAGTTAGGTTGTTAGTTAGTTACTGAAATACTGTATAAATATAGATTGTAATCTCTGATTATAATCTATGGAAGAAATACAAAAACTACTTCAAGAATTCTTCATGTATCAGAGCATGATGAAGCTCTAATGAGCAATCCTCAAAGTCCATCAATGGAGTCATCTTCCATTCCTTCGAATCTCAATCTGCTGATATCAAATCTTAGTTCTCTTGTAATAGTGAGTCATCTTCTATTCCTTCGAATCTCAATTTGCTGATATCAAATCTCAGTTCTCTTGTAACAGTGAAGCTAGATCGCTCGAATTTTGTTATTTGGAAGAATCAAATACAAAATCTGTTTCAAGCAACTAATCTACTCACAATTGTTGATGGATCAAAGAAGTGTCCTGTTGATACAGTGCAAAATGCTGCAGGAATGGAGGTTCCAAATCTAGAAGTTGTTAAATGGAAGATGATCAATGCACATCTACTTAGCTGCATAACTACTACTCTCTCTCTTGCGATTTTCACTTCAATATTGCATCTTCACACGAGTGCTCAGGTTTGGCAATTTCTTGACAAACGTTTTACCTGTCTCTCTAGGTCTCATATCCACCAATTAAAGAACAAATTGAGTTCTATTTCAAAGGAATCAGACTCAATGGAGGTGTATTTGAGCAAAATCAAAAGTATTGTTAATCAGTTGAGTATTGCTTCATTATTTGTGGAAGATGAAGATATAGTTCTTCTTACATTAAATAGCTTACCTTCTAAATATGATGTTGTCAAAGTGGCTATTTGAACTCGTGCAGAGTCAATTTCTATGGAGGATCTTTTTGCTCTACTCTGTTCAAAAGTTATTCATATTGAAGGAAAATTAAAACAAGCTTTAGATCTAACTGTTGCATATGCAGCTGTGAAAGATTCTAATGCTTCTAATGCTTCTTCTAGAGGATTTACTTTTTATCATCATAATAGAGGTTATTCTCATGGTGATTCTAGAGGTTCTCATAGAGGCACTCGATCCTATTCAGGCAGATCTTCTCGTGGCAAATCTCAAGGAAGAGGAAGGTCTATGTTTGGCATTGTTTGCCAAATCTATGGCAAAACCAATCATATAGCTCTCGACTGTTGGCATAGGCTAGACATTCAATTTCAATCTTCACAAGTGCCTCAGTCCTAGCAATTTCAGTCTCACTCTCAGCTATATCAGTCTCAGCAATCTAATATGTTACCTCTCTAACTGAGGATAATGGTTCTTGTTCCTCTCCCTGGTTTTTAGACTCAGCTGCTTCTGATCATATCACTAATAATCTTCACCAGCTCAACTCCATTCAACCCTACATTGCTGGTGATCAAGTCACTATTGGTAATGGTTCTTCACTTCCTATCACTCACACAGGTCAAAGTATACTACCTACTCCTCACCATTCTTTCAAACCAAACAAAGTTTTGCATGTTCCTTTCATTAACTCTAATCTTGTCTCTGTGCATCACTTGGCTAAAGATAATCACTGTTCTATCGCATTTGATCATTCTTCTTTTGCTATTCAGGACAAGCTTTGCAAGGCCATACTCCATAGAGGTTTTTATACCAATGGACTATATTAATTTCACACTTCATCCACTGCTTCATCACATGCCTACAATAGTTCAGTTACATCTGCTACTTCTACTGACATTTGGTATCAAAGATTAGGCCATCCATCATCTCTTAAGTTTCATTTGCTTAAACACAAGTTACCTTTGTCTGTAGCTTCCAATAAAAGCACATTTTCTTGTGTACATTGCTCTGTAGCCAAATGTCATAGGCTACCTTTTAAACTGTCTAATTCCACTGTCAATAATGCACTGGCTTTGAGTCACAGTGATATATGGGGTCCTTTCAGTAGTTCTGCTTCTCTTTACAAATATTATGTGTTGTTCATTGATGATTTTACCAGATTTACTTGGCTTTATCCTCTTTTTTTATAAAAGTGAAGTGTGCCAAATTTGTGGAAAAACAATTTGGTTTTCCTCTTAAAATTCTTTGCAGTGATGATGGTGGTGAATACAAGAATCATCCTCTCCAACATTATCTGCACACTCATGGCATCCACCATTTGTTTTCATGTCCACGTACTCCATCTGAAAATGGAGTGGCTGAGAGGAAGCACTTACATCTCACTGAAACTACTATTTCTCTTCTTTATCAATCCTTTTTTCCTCTTACCTATTGGTTTGATGCCATTGCAGCTGCCACATATTTGATCAATAGATTACCTAGTGTTTCTCTTGATAATTGCTCTTCTTTTGAGTTGCTTTATCATACTTCTCCTGATTACTCTCTACTTAAAGTGTTTGGTTGTCTTTGCTTCTCATGGCTTAAACCTTATACTTCTCATAAGTTGGATCCTAAATCTACTCCTTGTGTTTTTCTAGGCTATTATCCTAGTGTTAAGGGCTATGGATGTTTAGATCCCAAAACAGGAAAAATTCATTTATCTAGACATGTTACATTTCATGAAAACGAATTTCCTTTTTCCCTTTCTACTTTTCTTTATTCTATTTCTTCTCTCCCTCAATTACAGGATTTCTTTTAGTCATCATCTCCTCAGCACAGTTCTTCTCAGTCCAAGTTTACTTTGGCCCAACAGTCCACACAGACCAAGTTCTTTACCTCTCCTGCTCTATCTATATCTGCGTAGCCTAGTTTTGCTCAGCCTTCTACTTAGCTCAGACAGTCTATTGTCCAACCTATATCTGCATAGCCACAGTCCATTGCCCAGGCTCCACATGCCCACTCTGCACAGCCTCCTTCTGTTTTGTCTCAGTTTGATCCTCCACCAACTGAGCCTTCTTCCCGTCCATACATTCTTATTAATTCTATTTCTTTTGTTTTACCTCTTCCTCCTCCTTCTGCTACTAATTATCATCCTATGCAAACTAGATCCAAATCTCATTTTACTTGTTTTACTTCTACCCTCACTTCTTCTGCTGGCTCCTCTCATTCTTTTGACATTGAGCCCGTCTCTTAGAAATTTGCTCTTACTTCTCCAGTACGGTTCCAAGAAATGCTTGATGAGTATGCAGCTCTTTAACATCAAGGCACATGGACACTTGTTTCCCTACCTCTTTCCAATTAAGCTATTGGGTGTAAATGGGTCTTCAATGTTAAGAAGAATTCTGATGACTCTATTGCCAGGCACAAAGCCAGACTTGTGGCTAAGGGTTTTCATCAGCAACCTGGCATTGACTTTCATGATACTTTTAGCTCTGTGGCCAAACAACCAACTATTCGCATTTTCATCTGTTTAGCCCTTCATAATCATTGGCCTCTCAAGCAACTGGACATCTCTAATTCCTTTTTACATGGTAATTTAGATGAAGAAGTTTACATGGAACAACCTCCTGGCTTTGTTGATCCTTCTCAGCCTACTCTTGTCTGCAAACGTCACAAGGCTCTCTATGGCTTGAAACAGGCCCCTCGGGCATGGTACTCTACTTTCTTCTCCTTTCTCCTCTCTCAAGGTTTGATTCAGAGTCATTGTGATTCTTCTCTTTTCATCTATTCCACATCTTCTTCCGTTACCTTTCTTCTTATCTATGTGGATGATATTCTCCTCACTGGCTCTGATCAGTCCTACCTTGCTTCTTTATTAACTCAAATGCACAATGCCTTTTCCATGAAAGAATTAGGGGATATTTGATATTTCTTAGGCATTTCAGTTCAGTCCTTTGCTCAAGGCTTCTTTCTTTCCCAACAGAAATATGCCTCTGACCTTCTTCTTAAAGCTGGCATGACTGTTTGCAAACCGTGTGCCACACTTACCTCACCTAAACCCTCTCTTACTGTTTTTGATTCTCTCTCATTCTCCCAACCTTTTCTTTATCGCAGCCTTATGGGTGCCCTTCAGTATCTCACTATCACTTGGCCTGAGCTCTCCTATGTTGTCAACCAAGCTTACTAACATATGCATACTCTTACAGTGGGTCATTTTTCAGTTGTTAAACGTATTTTGAGTTACATTAAGGGCTCTATATCTCATGGTCTCCTGTTTGCTCTTGGTTCTTTTCATCTCACAGCCTACTTTGACTCCAATTGGGCTGGTGATGTCACTGATAGACGTTTCACCTTGGTTACTGTGCGTTTTTGGGCTCCAATCTCATTTCTTGGTCCTCCAAGAAATAGTCCACTGTGTCTTGCTCCTCAACCGAGGCTGAATATCGGTCCTTAGCTCACATTGCTGCTGAGATCACTTGGCTGCAAGTGTTTCTTGCTGATTTTCACATTCCTCAATCATCTCCACTTGTTCTTTGGTGCGACAACATGTCTACCTTGTCATTAGCTGCCAATCCAATCTTCCACAGTCGGTCTAAACACATTGAAGTGGTGTTCCCTCTTTGGATCAATTGGCTGACATCTTTACAATGTCTTTATCCACTGCTAGATTTTCCTTCCTCACTTCCAAGCTTCGTGTTGGTCTTCCTCTTCTCAGCTTGAGGGGGCATGATAAGGAAGAGGTCCATGAAGTGTAATGTACTGCAGGTGTATACTGTAATCTTCTATAACAGCTTTAGTTAGATTGTAACAACATTAGTTAGATGATGTATAGTTAGTTAGAGGTATAGTTAGGTTGTTAGTTAGTTACTGAAATACTGTATAAATATGAATTGCAATCTCTGATTATAATCTAAGGAAGAAATACAAAAACTACTTCAAGAATTCTTCAGTTTTTGGGCAATTGACAGTCTATAAATATTATTTTCACTTTTTACAAATATTCAGTAATGCTCTTATTCATGATTGTTCGTAGAATTGATAACATGTCAATTTGTTATTGAAAAATCATAAATGGACTTTTTCACGGTTAAGTCAGGATGGAGTTTATCTCTTTGAAGAGAGAATATTACACGTCTCTCCTCAAATAGAGAATAACTTCTTTATGACTATTTCGTAAACTAAATAGTTTATGAGTAGCCAATCATAATATTGTCAGTCAATCATAATTGTGCTCTATGTGTATTGTGATTGATAGAGGAGATAAAATTTACAATTTTATATTAGGGGATTGACAAATATAAGGGATATGAAAATTTGTGATTGGCCTAAGACATGGCCACGTGATGCCAGACTAACCTATAAATTTTATTTTTTTACTTCTCTTTTGTACCTTCTCATTTATACCGTCTCTTGCTCTCTCTAGCGATTTCAGCAATGGTGAGCTTGATATTGGTAATGGTGTGTTTGGGTTTAGGCTTGGGTAATGGTGGTAACGGTGATGAATGATCAGTGATGAACTATGAAGTACGGGTGGGGATACGGATATAGGTATGGGTACGATTTGGATACGCTGATATGACAAATTCTTAAAAAAGTACAGTATGGGTACGAATGGGGTACGTCAATTTTTTTTAAAAAAATTTATAACTAAACATCCAACATACAAATCAAAGTTTCAATATTAAAACTAAAACGAGAACAGTTTGTATAAAAAGTTATATAATTCTTTATTATTATTTTTATTGTCTAAACTAGGATTCAAAAGAGAACAAAACCATGACTCATGGGTAAAAGGTGTT